GAATTACAAATTTTACTTCGATATATCATAATTATTTGTTTATTAAATTAAATAATCAAATAAAAAAAGCATGTTGATTTGTGTTTGCCAGACTTTTATTAGTGCGAAGTAACTTTAACGGTTGGGAGGGTAAAGTGGCAGATCGACAAATTAACATAATATTAACTACTAGGAAACAGGAGCTGTTAAAAGTCTGAAGCATAACTATTAATTATAAATTTTTTTTAAATTTTTATATTTAAACTATATTATTTTGTATTAGTAGATTAGTGGTGCTATAAGAAATCGGCAGTCATGTGATGATTATCATGCATAATTAGATTTTATTGGTCGAATCTTTATTAGACAAATTCTCTGTAATGATAAGGTTTCCCGATGATAATTAAATCAATCTTCAGTATACGTAACAAAAATAACACTTAATATTCAGATTCATATTTAAAAAAAATTCGTACGTACATAAATGTTGTAACATATATTTTTTAATTAGTGGGTTTAAAAAAGTTTAATTTGAAATTGCGTAAATAGTCAATATGAAAAAAGAATCAATATGTTTATAGCCAACTGCTTCATTCAATATAAAATAAATCATCTTGACAAACAAATAAACTAAATAGCATATATATAACAGTGTAAACATAATAGTTATATAAAAAAAAAGATAAAAATTATCATTTGCATTAATAATTTTTATATGTTTCAATAATATAAGTCAAAAAGAATAGTAACATGCTAAAGAAATGATTACTTACGTACCAAACTTTAAGTTTCTTATATCAAACATATGTACTTACTTTGCTAACATCTATCAAAAAAAATTGATTAATGCTAGCTTTATTAAGTAAGGTTTTAAAGATTTGTCAATTGCTAATTACATATGTATAAGAACAGTTGATGTTTGATAAATATATATAATGAATGAAACACGTATATAGAAATAATTATTATGATATGCATTTAAAACAAATATATAGAAAAAATACTGTAATAGCTTTTTAGCATATTAAATTTATCAAAAAATGTAACACGCTTGTAATAAATAAAGTTAACACAGATGCATAAAAAATATTATATATCAATTAAAAAATGTAACAGTATATAGAATTTATTAGTAAATATATAAAATTTACTATATTATAAAAATTAACAGCTTTCAAAAATAATGTATATAGATCTTTTAAATTATAAGTTTTTAAATAATGTTTCGTAAAGCTTCCTATCTAATAATGCCTGTTATTATTTCGTCTTGCAATTTAATAATTATATAAATGATCAAATAGGAAAATGTTTGATAAATAGTTTCAGTATTAAATATTGTCATATTATATAACAAAAACTAATATCCAAGCGAAATATATATAAGCAATTGATTTCAGCCTTTAACGATGTTAGAATTTGAGTTTCAAAAACAATATTCAATAATATCAAATAATACCAAATTAACTACTTATCTCTTAAGATTCGCCTGGTGCGATAGTATCAATTCAAAACAACTCTTACTTTTCTCATTTATCTATAAACAACACAATGGATCAATTGAATAGTAATATTGATGGTTAGTCTTAAATGAATACATGTTACTCTGACTATAATGATATTTTAAAATTTTGAACTTATAACTTAATCTGAAAATATATCTGGTTAGAATATATCAGACAATTTCTTAATTTTTTTGAAATGTCGATATAAGCAGAATGACATGTATTTAACCTATAAATTGTTAATATTAAATAATTAATATTAATTTTATAAAATACATTTTAGTAAACTCTCATGAAATAAAAGAATGCTCACATTGTGGAGTATTAAAGTCAATCAATAAATTCATAAGAGTTCATGGTACAAGGAAAGGTCCATTTGCAAGTTGTAATCGCTGTTCTGAACAAAAGAAACATCAACAAGTAAAAGTTCAATTAATAAAGATATAATGCAAGAAGATAATCCAAGTTATTTACAACCTGAGAGTGATCTTGACTCCGGTCTATTAACAACGATTGAAGATGATAATGAAAGCCTTATCTATGAACTAGAAGATTTTGAAGAACTTGTATCTACATATTTTTTAAACAATGAGAATGTTGAGTTTTCAGCTATAATTGAATTACGCAATAAATTTATTGAAGAGGCATTATTAAATGAAACTAATCCGAATGATAATAGTAGTCAAAGTGATGATGGTCAAAGTTTTCGTTTCATCATAAATACAATATTAATCTTAATCGAGACTGGGTCTCAATACTATTGGGAATTAAAAAATTTTTATATTAATAAAAAAAATAATCAACCTTACGGGTGTGCCACTGCATATTTAATTTGTTCACAAACAATTGAGCGCCAACATAAATATTCTGATAGCCAATCTATTAAGCGAATTAGCGAGATACGGCCAGCCATTAATCAATTTCCTTGTAGCGGAAATGCTATAATAAAAATTAACATTCCTTTGAAACAAGTTACATTATCAGTTGCATATTTAATACCCCATAAACATCCAACTTACTGTGAAAGTAAAATTAAATTGCCTTATAATGCAATTTCCTGGATTAAACTAAATCTAAATTGTGGTCTTCATGTAATAGAAATTTATAAAAGGCTTTCTAGTGAAAAGCTCATAGACCCAACAATTCATACTTATCATCAGGTATATTATTGGGTATCTAAATTTTCAACCGGACAATACATATCTAATATAAAAAACCAAGTTATCTCAACAAAAAACTATTTAGAACGACAGGAATTAGTTAACGAGGGATATAAATTAATTTTCCATATTGAAAATGACTTTGTTAGAGCACTTAGATTCATTACGCCATTCATAAATATAATTTTAAAAGAAAATATTAGTGAACTAATTCTGGATTCTACATTTAAAACTAACAAAGAAAAATTTGAATTATTTGCCTTAATAATAAATTGTGGAGGGTTTGGAATGCCGTTTTTTTATCTATATCTTGATACATTCATCGCATCAGAAGATCGTTTACAAGACCCTATAAATAATATTAATAATAGAACCCAAACACTTACAGAATTTTTTTGGCTTGTTAGAGAAGAAGGTATCTTACCTTCTTTTATTCTTTTTGATAAAGATATGGGACAAATCTCAGCCGTAGAGGAAGCCTGGTCCCAAAAAGTAAAAATTCAGCTATGTCTTTGGCATGTTGAACGTGCCATTGATCGAAAAATAAAAGAAAAAAATCATAAAATGTCTTATTATTCTGTTTAAAAAGCAAAAGAGGCCAATAACCAATTTATCTTTATTGATCCCAATTGGCTTCCTACAGGACGGCAAAGTCCAATATGTTCTGCAGAAAATGCAAAAAAAATTAAAAATATGATAAAAAGACATTCGTTACTTCATCCTTTAATACCAGTTAATATAAATACTTTCCTTACCTCTGATAAAATATATTATCAAAGCGTCTTAGAAGTTTATCAATATTGCCGGCATAACAATCTTAATAACCTTTGGGCTTATT